TATCATTATTCTGAATTCTTTTTCAGGTAGTTTGCCTATTTCCTCTTCATTTGTTTGGTCTGGTGGGTTTTTACCTTGCTCCTTCATCTGCTGTGTGTTTCTCTGTCTTCTCATTTTAACTTACTGCGTTTGGGGTCTCCTTTTTGTAGGCTGCAGGTTCGTAGTTCCCGTTGTTTTTGGTGTCTGTCCCCAGTGGGTGAGGTTGGTTCAGTGGCTTGTGTAGGCTTCCTGGTGGAGGGGACTGGTGCCTGTGTTCTGGTGGATAAGGCTGGATCTTGTCTTTCTGGTGGACAGGGCCTCGTCCAGTGGTGTGTTTTGGGGTGTCTTTGAAGTTAGTATGATTTTAGGCAGCCTCTCCGCTAATGAGTGGGGTTGTGTTCCTGTCTTACTAGTTGTTTGGCATGGGGCATCCAGCACTGGAGTTTGCTGGCCATTGGGTGGAGCTGGGTCTTAGTGTTGAGACAGAGATGTCTGGGAGAGCTCTTGCCGATTGCTATTACTTGGGGCCAGGAGGTCTCTGCTGGTCCAATGTCCTAAACTCAGCTCTCCCACCTCAGAGGCTCAGGCCTGACACCAGGCCAGGGCACCAAGACCCTGTAGGAAAGAAAGAAAGAGAGAAAGAGAGAAAGAAGGAAGGAAGGAAAGAAAGAAGGGAGGGAGGGAGGGAGGGAGGGAGAGAGGAAAGAAAAGAAACAAAACGAAATAAAGTTATTAAAATTTAAAAAAATTATTAAAAATAAAATAATTAAAAAAAGAAAGAAGACAGCAACTAAACCAAAAAACAAATCCACCAATGATAACGAGCATGAAAAACTATACTAAAAAAAGACACACACAGACACACACACACACACACACACAAAAACGGACAGATAGAACCCTAGGACAAATGGTAAAAGCAAAGCTATACAGACAAAATCACACAAAGAAACATACACACTCACAAAAAGAGAAAAAAAGGGAAAAAATGTATATATAAATCAAAAAAAAGGAAGAGAGCAACCAAATCAATAAACAAATCTACCAATGATAATAAGCTCTAAATAGTAAACTAAGATAAGCGTAAAACCAGAAACAAATTAGATGCAAAAAGCAAACCCCAAGTCTACAGTTGCTCCCAAAGTCCACCTCCTCAGTTTGGGATGATTCGTTGTCTATTCATGTATTCCACAGATGCAGGTACATCAAGTTGATTGTGGAGCTTTAATCCACTGCTCCCGAGGCTGCTGGGAGACATTTCCCTTTCTCTTCTTTGTTCGCACAGCTCCCGGGGTTCAGCTTTGGATTTGGCCCCGCCTCTGCATGTAGGTGGCCTGAGGGCGTCTGTGCTTCGCTCAGACAGGACGGGGTTAAAGGAGCTGCTGATTCGGGGGCTCTGGCGCACTCAGGCCGGGGGGAGGGAGGGGCACGGAGTGCGAGGCGAGCCTGAGGCGGCAGAGGCCGGCGTGACGTTGCACCAGCCTGAGGCGCGCCGTGCGTTCTCCCGGGGAAGTTGTCCCTGGATCCCGGGACCCTGGCAGTGGCGGGCTGCACAGGCTCCCCGGAAGGGGGGTGTGGAGAGTGACCTGTGCTCGCACACAGGCTTCTTGGTGGCGGCAGCAGCAGCCTTAGCGTCTCATGCCCGTCTCTGGGGTCCGCACTTTTAGCCGCGGCTCGTGCCCGTCTCTGGAGCTCCTTTAAGCGGCGCTCTGAATCCCCTCTCCTCGCGCACCAGGAAACAAAGAGGGAAGAGAAAGTCTCTTGCCTCTTCGGCAGGTTCAGACTTTTCCCCGGACTCCCTCCCGGCCAGCCGTGGCGCACTAACCCCCTGCAGGCTGTGTTCACGCCGCCAACCCCAGTCCTCTCCCTGCGCTCTGACCGAAGCCCGAGCCTCAGCTCCCAGACCCGCCCGCCCTGGCGGGTGAGCAGACAAGCCTCTCGGGCTGGTGAGTGCCGGTTGGCACCGATCCTCTGTGCGGGAATCTCTCCACTTTGCCCTCCGCACCCCTGTGGCTGTGCTCTCCTCCGTGGCTACGAAGCTCCCCCCTCCGCCACCCGCAGTCTCCGCCCGCGAAGGGGCTTCCTAGTGTTTGGAAACCTTTCCTCCTTCACGGCTCCCTCCCACTGGTGCAGGTACCGTCCCTATTCTTTTGTCTCTGTTTATTCTTTTTTTTTTGCCCTACCCAGGTACGTGGGGAGTTTCTTGCCTTTTGGGAGGTCTGAGGTCTTCTGCCAGCATTCAGTAGGTGTTCTGTAGGAGCTGTTCCACGTGTAGATGTATTTCTGATGTATCTGTGGGGAGGAAGGTGATCTCCACGTCTTACTCCTCTGCCATCTTGAAGGTCCCTCTTTTGATCTTTTCTAATCATTTTACTCTTGGTTGGTGTCTTCCTACAAACATTTAAATTAATATCCATGCTCTCCTTTTAATATCATCCAAATCTTCCTATCTCTCTTGAGTTGCTCCATGGAAAAGTAGACACCTCATTCTTGGAAAGGCCAGAATAGGCTCTCGCAGATATAATGAGATGGTTTTTGTTCTACTATTATATATCCAAGCATTTACTGCGCTGTTTGGATAAGGTCATTTGTAGCTAACGCACTGAATTCATCCTTTGCTCCGAGTGCTGCAAACTCATTTACAGTTGTTCATTCTCGTGAATTCTGTCCTCTTGGGCGTTCTAACAATTCCAAACAAACTTTACGTTTCACTGACGTAGAGGCGAGTCTCTGGGGCAGGTTCTGGAGGCTGTGGTCAATAGAACGAAAAGCTGTGTTTGGGATTCGAAAGCCTAGGCTTGGACCCCTGCAGAGCCGCCCACTAGCTGTGTGATCTTGGGAAAGCACTGCGTTTTCCTGAGCTCATTTCTGAGCTGCGTTTCCATCTCATATGTCCACCTTCATCCGGTGTTGACGTGGCTCGTTAGCACAGGGCTCCAGACCCGGAGGCTCCAGATCCAGAGGCTCGTGACCCCAGAGGCAGAGGCAAGCGCAGGACCCGCCACCAAGCAGCGCTGTGGTCAGCACACCCCGTGAGGCACGTGGCCGTGGCCGCTCTTTTTGTTTTGCCTCCATTTGCTTTTTGTCTCTCTGAGGATCCTCTCAGCGGTTGGAGTGTCAGTAACAGACATCAGTTTACTTCCTTGGTCCTCCCCTTGGCTCCCGGGGCCAGTTTGCATGTCCTCTTGTTCTGTCCGGGGCTGGGGTCATCTGCAGATCTCCAAGGCTCATTAGTGCACGGCCCCGGGTGGGGCGGAGAGTCCGCATAACCCAAGCATCCTCCCGGATCGGGGAGTCCCTGCCGACAAAAGCTGGATTCTTCCTTCTTGTCTTGGCCTCAGATAAAGTGCTCCTTATTCCATTTTCCTCTGGGTCTCGAAGTTACGTGCCAGGTCTAAACACAGCGAGGCACTCAGAGCTGAACGTGCAGGAAAGGCGATGCTGCACTGGTGTGTCCCACACTCACACTGCTTTGTCATGTGCGTCATTTCCCCTCTGCCCCCTTGGTTTGTTGCTGCATCATCTAGTACCTCTGAGGTGCACCACCACTAAGTTTGGAAGCTTGGCTGCACCACTCAAGGGTGGGCAATCTGTGTCTTCTCTCTTTAGGGCCTCTCCCTGGGTCTCTTTAGGTGTGGACACGGCAGGTGGATCCAGAGAAGGCGTGTAGGGTGTGCCGGGGCCCTGCTCTGCCCGGCACACTTGGCACCTTTCTGGACATTCTCTCGCTCCTTGTTTGAAACCCAACCCATTTGCCAGATGCTCCTGGGTAAGCCCACGGCTGTGCCTCTGAGCCCCTGTTGCCTGTAAAATGTGATGAACGCGGTAACAGGACTCTTATGAAATGAAACCCAGGCTTGTTTGGGCCGTTTCCACGCGGCTGTTAAATTCCTCCGCGGCAGTGCAGTCCAGAGGGAACCACTGGATCTTCAGCAGGGCTCCCAGGTGTCCTGGGGACGTTTTGAGCCATCTTGATCTTGTGCTAATCTAACTGGAAGCTCATAATATTTTGTGTCGCAGTGACTGGGACTGTGCGTCTGGAAAACCTCTACCCCTCATGAAAAGTTCTCACATCCAAACATAACACGCCTGACACCTAGCATTTTTTTTTTTGCGGTACGCGGGCCTCTCACTGTTGTGGCCTCTCCCGTTGCGGAGCACAGGCTGCGGACGCTCAGGCTCAGCGGCCATGTCTCACGGGCCCAGCCGCTCCGCGGCATGCGGGATCTTCCTGGACCGGGGCACGAACCCGCGTCCCTTGCACCGGCAGGTGGACTCTCAACCACTGCGCCACCAGGGAAGCCCCACCTAGCATTTTATTAAAAAGAGACGTGTGTCAGAAGAGACGCAGTGGGCTTCTTCGATGCGACTGTTCTATTATAGTTACTTGCTAATTGGTATCACGCTGGAATTTTAAGTATATAGACATAGATGCGATGCTTGTGGATGTGGAACAGATCTACCCAGGAAGGGAAGCCATTTGCTTTGGAAGTCGATATATTGTTTCCATGCTTTGAGGGCATAATGGGAGGAAAACAACCAGAGAGGGCCCTTAGAGAAAGTACGACCCCCATCTTGGAAGGCTTCCCTGCTGCAGGACACCATTGCTGGTACCTTCTCTGCACAAATTCCCCATACAGTCAGAGCTGCATTTCTGGTTAAATGCCCTGTTTCTTCTGGGTAAATTCCTCTCCCACTTCCAACTGGAATTCTGGATGAATTTTGGGTTAGATTCCTTTCTTATGAACTGGCTTATATTGGAAACAGAAGTAATTGGACGATCTTTACCAGTTCATTATACTTTGGCTCTGGAAAAATAGTCCTTGCAGTTTGCTTGCTTTCCCAGAATAGAAATGAAGCAAAAGCCGACACTGATACGTGAGGCCTTTAATGCCTGTAAAGTAGCCGAGGGTCGTGCTCCCAAGATGGGCTGCGGCAAGCGGGCTGACCTGGCTTCTGTCAGCACTCACGGTGTTAATTCCTCCTCCAGGTGATGTTCAGGTTCCAGGACCTCCCACCAACGTCCACGCCTCAGAAATCAGCAGGACATATATCGTCCTCAGCTGGGACCCACCTGCCCCCCGTGGCAAGGAGCCGCTGATGTATTTCATTGAGAAGGTACACCCCGGGTGGGTTTCCTGAAGCAGCAGATCTCTGTAGGCTTTCCCGTGGTGCTGTGTCGTGTGTTTTAAGGATGGGCAGCTCTCAGATCGGTTATTTAACGTGAAGCTGCAGACACTGGCGGAGCTGTGAATGCCTGAGGGGTTCTGCGAGGGGCGTGGCATCCGAGGAGCTTGTCCCGCTCAGGCTGTGCCGCCCTCCGCGGGGGCCAGTCAGGCTCCCGGCTCCCCGCTGTACACGAGGGCCTCGCACTGAGGCAGCCGCCAGCTTTCTTCCTGCTGGAACATTCTAGGCTCCCAAGTTCTGAGGGTTCCGGATGTGGGCAGGGGGACAGCAGCCCCTGCTCTCAGTTTGCTCATAAGCCGAGTGGCCACTTGGTGGCGATCGTGTTGAGGAATTCACACTTCAGATGGCGAAGGGTTACACAGAATCATTGGTTTGCAGACTTTTTAGGTCTGGACGCGTAGGAAGAAATAGTTTGTGTGTTGCAGACACACACACACACACACACACTGAATGTACATCACCAACTAAATTTCAAACACAGTATCCTTACTCTGTGCCACGTGTTCTCTCTCCTGCTTTGGTCTGTCCAGTTGCACTAAAAATGCAGGTTGTGGCACAGTCATTCAGATCGCTGGCCTGTGATTGGGCTGTGGACCGTTGTTGAAAAACCTGGATAACCATACGAATCCTGTAACTGTGGTTTTGTGATACTAAATTTATATTACAATGTACTAGGCAATCCAATACGTGTAATATACACATAAAGTCTATAACTCTTAATGTGAGCATATATGTCTCATACGGTAGTAATGTGTGATACGACAAGGTGAAGGAAGGCAGAATGGAAATGAATGGTTTTCAGGCTCCAGACGGTATAATGACCCTCAGCTTTCTCTACTTACCTGCAAGGCTTACCTGTGGGCAGAGTCAAGTGTTAACTTCTTGCTGCTGGGTGCTAGCTTGTTGTTTTGCATCATGAAAATCCAGTGGTCAGCCCTCCCAGGAGGAAAGGCGCTTTCTCAGGCCCTCTTTAGAGACATTTTCCTACTCACCTACCCAGTGCCGGAAAGACCAAGTTTCAGCAAACACATTTAAAAATCTTTTAAAATTTTAAATTATTTTTTATTGAAACGTGGTTGGTGTACAGTATTATGTTGGTTTTGGGTGTAGTATGTAGTGATTTGACATTTGCATACATTATGAGGTGGTCACCACAAGTTTAGTCACCATCTATCCCCATACAAGGTAATTACAGTATTATTGACCATCTTTCTTCTGCTGTACATTATATCCCTCGACTTATTTACTACAGGACTGGGGGTCTGTACCTCTGACTCCCCTTCCCCTATTTCACCCCCCACTAGCAAACCCACTTTTAAAAAGAGGCCTGCCTCGGGCTTCCCTGGTGGCGCAGTGGTTGAGAGTCCGCCTGCCGATGCAGGGGACGCGGGTTCGTGCCCCAGTCTGGGAAGATCCCACATGCCGCGGAGCGGCTGGGCCCGTGAGCCATGGCCGCTGGGCCTGCGCGTCCGGAGCCTGTGCTCCGCAACGGGAGAGGCCACAACAGGGAGAGGCCCACGTACCGCAAAAAAAAAGAAGAGGCCTGCCTCACCGAGGGCACCCTTGCATTCCCTACCCATTGCCACGGGTGGTGAGCAGCAATACAGGGTGTGTGATCAGGGAGAGGAAGCTTCCAGGACAGCCTGAGGGGAGCCGTGGTGTCCAGGGACCCCGAGAGGGAGGGGCAGCAGGGAGCCCGGGAGGGAGCCGGACTGGGCTACTCCCCAGTGAGCTGGCCGGGCGAGGCACCCACCTCTCTCTGTTGCTCACGGAGGACGGTCCTGCCCCAACCCATCCAAGGTGGTCTTTGGGGGCCTTAGTTCCTATCAGGCCTAAAAGGAACCACAGGGATGGTTGTGAGCCAGCATCCTCTGTCTAGTCCTGTATTTCCACTTTATGTCAGGACCAGGCACAAGATGCTAGGAACGGCGGCGCTCTGGTTAATAGCTTGGCATCTGAGCACAGTTTGAAGCACGCGTCTTCCCCCGAGTGAGCTCTGCTTGGAAAGCCCACGTGTGGCCACAGCCCAAGGTGCACGGCCTGTCCTATCCACGTTGGGCTCATGTGCTGAGAGTTTGGCTGCGGTGAAGGCAGTGGTGCCCTGCGGTTCTTGGGGTGCAGAACCCCAAGAACTTCCTCCACCCCTGCTTAGAAGATGGGCAATAGCTTTTCTAGAAGCTTGGCTGTAAGACGCGAGCAGTGTTTTCCCCACTCCCTCCCTGTCTTGCCTCCTTCAGCCCCAGGGTCCTTTTCTCCCATCGGCCCAGCTGAGTGTGCCCAGGGCTCCCCTGCTGCTCCTCCCCCTGCTCTCCAGATGGCGAACATACTCGGGCCCAAGGGGGCCTCTGACTGTGGACGCCTGCGTCAGTCCAAGAAAGCCACTTCACTTTTGCTAAAATGAGAGAAGACTTCTCTCAACAGGAATCTAATTTCTAGAAGCCTGGGTTGTTCGAAATGCTTTCCCAGTCCTTTCTGACGGCCTTAGTGGGGTCAGTGTACACCCAACTTTTACTACCTCAGGGTTCCTTTCACAAAGGGGGCTTATCTCTATAGGAAAAAACTAAATTAGACATGTAATCCCAGTTTTAAAAGTAATCGCCAATGATAAAACTTAAACACGCCGCGTAGAAAATTTGGAAAACACGTATATGTTATATAGAACAAAATGAAAATCACCAATAATTTGATCACGCAAAATAGTCATTATTAACATGTGGGACATATTTAGTCTTTTTCTCCATCGGTTTTTATATCTTGATATATCATACATACAACTGGCATCCTGTATTACATTTAACAAAATGATACAATTCCTCTCCTCTGAGTAAAGATCTTTATACAATAATTTAAATGGCTACATTTAATGTGTATGTGTCATTTTGTATCATAATGTACCTACCCTACTGCTGGCCATTTAGGTTGCTGTCCCTTTGTTATTACTATAATAGCTGAGAAAGAGCAAATGGTTTAAACTGGAATGTGAGCAGTTATGATGGAATTTTACACATCTGCTCCTCAATTATCTCTAATTGTTTAGAGTTCATCCTGTCTTTACTAAAACTACGACCTATGTATTGATTCCCTGAAGATTCCCATAGGTTATTGGCTTTCATGTAAAAATGTTCTCTGGTAGCATTTCCAACTTTGGGTAGTTTCTCACCTCCTTCTCCAAATTGGCTTCCTTTTCCTAAAATTCAGAACAGAGGTATTGATGGCCCCGGAGGTGCCATGGGCTGTGGGTCCCCCGCAGTGTAATTGAGGACCAGAGCGGAGCATCCCCTCCCCCCCATGCGGGTCTGGGGAGCATGGCTCCATCGAGGCCCCTGTCTTTGCAGTCCATGGTCGGGAGCGGAAGCTGGCAGCGGGTGAACGCACAGACGGCCGTGAGGTCCCCCCGATACGCTGTCTTCGATCTTGCCGAGGGGAAACCATACGTGTTCCGAGTGTTGTCAGCAAATAAGCATGGCCTGAGCGACCCGTCGGAAATCACCGCCCCCATTGAGGCCCAGGACACCATCGGTGAGTTGTTAGCACGAGTGACCAAACGGTAGATGGGCCCTGAACGACGTCACCCGTGTTGGACAGCCATCACCTGCGTTGATAAAGACGTTAGTGTCGTACGTGATTTAAAATTCAGATTGCCTTAAAATTCCATTTTACAAGAGATGAAGATCTCTCTGCCTTGTTTTGGTCAACATTTCTCCAAAGTTCCATCTTCTTTTTATGAAACCAATCAATGGATTAGCAATATTTTTAGGCAATGGCCACTTTAAAAAAACCCCAAAAAACCCAACCCTAAATGCATCAGGGTTTCTTGCCCATATGTCTTGAAGTTCCCTCTCAGAAGACGTCAGGTCAGATTAGAGAAATTCTGAATTGTGCAAGGGGAGAAATCCATGGTTTGATTCTGAGTCCCTTGCAGTCCCTTGAATCTGATAGAATTGTGTCCTATTTTTTTTTAAATGGCTAATTTTATATCCCAACATAGTTCCTTCCCGGGTAGCAAAGCGCGTGCATCACTGGGGGAGCTTTGTGGATGGGTCTGTAGGGGCGGCAGGGGCAGGAGATTCTGTGATGGGAATCTCTTTCTTTGGAAGGGAGCGACTTGGAGACAGAGAGCACAGGGACTGCCCGGAACCTCCTGGGTGCCCCCTTGACCTGCACCGTCTTCCTTGTCCAAATCTCATCTAAAGCCCCAAGCTCTGCGGACAGGAGGGCCTGTGGGTCTCTGGCGTGCCCCCAGACTCCCATGCCGCTGAGCCTGTGTCCCTGTCCCCCCTGCACAGTGGTCCCCTCAGCCCCTGGCCGCGTCGTCACCTCCCGGAACACAAGGACGTCAGTGGTGGTGCAGTGGGACCAGCCGAAGCACAAAGAGGACCTGCTCGGCTACTACGTGGACTGCTGCGTGGCCGGGTCCACTGTCTGGGAGCCCTGTAACCACAAGCCCATCGACTACAACAGGTGCTGCCTGCTCGGGTCCCCCTCCACCCGACATCCTTGCCCCCGAGAAAACGTGAGAAGCACACCCCCCCGGGACCCACGGGGCCTTCGGGTGCAGGTGCCACGGCAGGAACACCTGTGACGTCCATATCACGGGCCGGGTTCCTCACCCACACATGGGGGCTGCAGAGCTGGAAGCTGGGGAGCTAGTTCTACCCCATGGCTGAAGTGCTTTGTCTGTCGATGAAGAAAAGCCCCAGAGCATCTCCTCTGACGTACTCAGCGTTTAAGACTTACCCTGAACAGGAGAGTTAACGGGAAGGGTGTTTTATTTCTCTGTATTGATGTTTTGAACTTTTAAAATTGCTTTGTTCACAAAGCTGACAGGCCCTCCCTCTGGCCACCAATTGCACAAAGCCGGGGAGGGGGTGGAGAGAGGCTCCTGTGCAGGGGCGACAGCGGCTCTGCCTGCAGTGGGGCCGAGCATCTTTCCTGCCGACACGGACTTGCTCCCGTCTCAGGGCCTGCAGGGAAGGCCTGGGTGTGTTAGGGTTCCCGCAGGACGCGCTTAGGAAAATAGCTGTCAGATCCTCCACTGGTTATCCATTACGTCTCTGACACCCTTCCCTCTTCACTCTTTAAAAACCAATAAATTGGGAAAAGCTGTGGCTGGAAAAGAAGAGACACAACTGACGCTAAAGTTAGATGTTATGCACAGTCCACGCCAGCAAGTGCAGGAAGAGCTCCCAGAACAAAACACCTCAAATATTCTAGTGCAGGAATTTCGTGAATGCCTGATACATGTTTGCAGACTCGGAGATAAATAACTATTGCTCACGTTTACTGAGTACTTACCGTGTGCGAGGTGGCTGTGCTGAGAAGTAGGTACTATGATCCTCTTTCACAGATGGGAAAACAAAGTCTTTCCGGGGTTAGGTAACTTGACTGAGGACATAAAATCTTTTAGGTGTCCAAGCCGGTCTCCAAGCCAAATCTTAGCCAGTGTGGTGTGACTCCTTCTCCCCTGAGTTTTACAGACGTGGGTTCTTTTAGGAAAGGAGAGGAACCCTACTTTAGAATAGAGCTTTGATGCAGACAAAACCAGAGGGCTTGGAAATGAAGGGGGAGCCTTGGCACTGAGTGAGGTCACTCGGGATTTCCAGGGCTTTGCTTCTCGCGCCCCCCCGGGGCCCGCGGGCAGCAGCTGGTGCCCCCGCCACCCCCCGAGTCCAGCTCCCTTCAGCCCCAGAGTCGTTGGCTGTTGCCGGCTTACGTGTGGACGTGGCGTGTTGATTGGAATTAATATGCATCCATGAGGCACTCGAAGAAGTAAACTTCTTTTCAGTCCCAGTGACAGATGTTCGTGGCGTGTTCAAGATGCTCTCTGTGTCTATTGCAGGAAGAAAAAGCGTTGAGCCTTGTATTCACGCCCCCGATTCGTGTTTTTGTCAGGTTTGTGGTGCACGGCCTAACCACCGGCGAGCAGTACATCTTCCGAGTTAAAGCCGTTAATGCTGTTGGGACGAGTGAGAATTCTCAGGAGTCTGACGTCATAAAAGTCCAGGCCGCCCTCAGTAAGTAATTCGTGGGCGACTCTGTGCCAGCTTTCGGTTCTCCACTACGTTTTCATTTCTGCATGAACAAACCTTTATGATGCCGTTTAGAATATTACCGGAGGGGAAAAGTGGATGTAAATTGTTGAACAGAGAACATGCAGTTCTGTGGAAACCTCTCATCAATTGGCTTGGAAATGCCAGTGTGAGAGGGAGAAAGGATAATATGCTAGTAAAATGCAAATTGAAAATAGAAAATATTATCAGAGGTCACACTGGTTTCCAAGCGCACGTGCCCCCATTACAATGTATGCTGTAGGGTGTGACCGTCTCTTTTCAAAATCGGTGCGTTCAAAACAGAACGTCGATGGCCTTTTCAGCTATTCTTAGCTCAAGGAACTTAACGTCATTCCAGAGGATTTCAAGTGTTTATGTAACTCCGTGGCTTTGTTCATAAATAGTGATCTTTCAAAATTATTATTCTGACCACACAGAGCACTTCGGGGCCGAACTTGCAGTGATGGGCCCTAGGAAGCTTGATCTGTGCAGCTCTGTGTTGTGTAACGTTGGTCTGGTTGTTTCATATAAAATGGACCCCATGACTTAAAAGTATTCAGAAAGATTTAGAACCACGATCGCCTCTTAGACACATTTTGAATCGTAGTATTATCTTTTCGCTTCTGAGAGAAATGTTTTGCTCTTTATTTTTGTCTTCAACTAAATCTAAAAGTATCTTCAGAGATTATGATTTCTCATCTAACAATAGATAGAATAACGTTACTGGAATTTCCAAGGAATGTCAAATCTGATGATACCGAGGTGGGCGATATAGTAAAAGACTAACTCTTATTTTAAGCTCATTATAATCTATCAGTTTTTCCCAGGACGGACTTTCAAACATTACCACTAGCCTCTTCAAGTCATTCCTACTAAAGGAAAGCCAATCGTTTATGTTTTAATTATGCAATAAGACCAGCTCATTCCCGGGTACCTGTATCTCGGGTAACAGAGGTTGATTGGACGTAGGTTGCTCGGAGTCGGGGAGGGGGGAAGCAGAGACACATCCTCTTCAACCTGTTAGGAAAAGATGGTCCATTTCCGAGCAGGGTGTTCAAAAGGGAAACTTGAATTCATACTCATTTGAATTAATCTGAAGTTTCTATAACTATGGGGGAAGTTAAGACTCACTGGCCTCAGTCTATCGGTCATCACTGGCTGTGGAAGGTGAGGTTGTCATTCTTCATGGGCGTGATGAGAAAGCTGCTCTCTCAAGGTTTTCCTTAGAGGAGGGGGAGAGTCTTTTGTCTCAAGTGTCCTTCTTGGCCTTTGTATTATTGAAATATTGGAGGATGTATGTATGGATGTATGTATCGGAAGATGTATTTAGAAATTGCAATAAATATATATGAAAGAAGCTTTTTAAAAACTTACTCTCTTTAAAAGAAGAGACAAAGACAAGCGAAGATGGTGAGCAGGGAGACCTGGACAGGACAGAGGGGACAGGCACCCAGGGCCATCTCCCATTGCTGCCCGTCCCTCTGAGATGCTGGAGCCGGCCGCGGTAGGTTAATGATTATTGCACTAAGATCCGGGTGACTTTCCCGATGTGTTTCCTGCAGCCGTCCCGTCCCATCCTTACGGGATCACCCTTCTGAACTGTGACGGCCACTCCATGACCCTGGGCTGGAAGGTGCCTAAGTTCAGCGGTGGCTCACCCATCCTCGGTTACTACATAGACAAGAGAGAGGCTCACCACGAAAACTGGCATGAGGTCAACGCCTCGCCTCTCCAAGAGAGGATCCTGACGGTGGGTGCTCATGGACTCATTCCCTTTTACAGGCAATTTCTCATGTGGGGCAGGGTCCCCGTTCTGTGTCTCAGAGTTCAGTGACATTAGGCAATTTGACACAGAAACAAAAACGAATGAAACAATTCACCATGAGAACTTAGGATCACGGAGCATCTTCTTTTGAGAAGTGAAGCAGAGGAGGCGAGCCGGCAGGTGGGTCGTTTGCAGGTGCAGGTGTTGCTGTGAGCGGCATCCGGCCTCCAGCCTGGTGGCTGGAGCTCTCAGCCTCGGGGCAGGATGCGCAGGAGACGGTGACAATCGAGGCTCCTCTGCTTGTTTGTCCCCGTTTCCCAAGGAAGGCGTGTGCTCAGGCTTCCCAGTGAGCCTCTTGCCCAACTACACGTTCCATCCGGGTGCAGGGAGCGCGAGCCACATGGACTTGGAGTAAGAAAGAGCAGAACCAAGTCACCAGGCGAGCCCTCGACAGCCCGCAGGCAACAGCTGTCACCTCCCTGAGCCCCCACTCCTCCCCGTGAGCCACCACACGGGGCTTCTCGTGAGAGAGATGAGGGAGAAGGTGTTTACTTAACGGAGCACGCGGGTCGGTGACGGTAGCTCACGCGGTTACCGGGCAGCACGCCCACCTGTTCATTCACAGGAGTCACGCGGTAAAGCGAGGGGTTTTTTGCGGGAGGCGGAGAGGAGGTCTAATCCCTGTCTTGTACAAGATTCTGTGCCAATACCTATATTTATGCAATACGTATTTCTCATGCGTTTTATTGTGTATGACGCGTATTGCCAAAATTCAAGCTCGGTGCGAAGATCCTGGTGTTTTGTCCACGCTTGTCCCCGGACACCTTACTATTGGCTGTCAGGTCCCAAACTCCAGAGGAAATGCCCACGTACTTTCTGAATGCCGGCATTCCACGAGGCCAGACCTGCCTTCCGGGGGATAAAGCGGCTCCACGTGACTCGTGCTTGCTTTGGGAGCTGTTGTGTTCAGAGACAATGTCATCCAGATGCTGTGTTTGATCCAGTGGCCGGGCTACCAGGCAGGGCTGATGGTCTGGTCCAGGGCCTTCCCTCCATCTTTTGTGGCACCGACCAGGCAGAGTGGACCCTCAGGGGCCTCCAGCCAGTGTGCGGGGAGGAGACAGGTCACTCCCCACCGCCCCCGGCGAGGATGCTTCCCGTCCCGGGCCCTTGACACCCCAGGTGCGGTGCCGCCGGGGGTGGAGGGTGGAGGGTGGAGAGCCTGGGCCCGAGGTCAGGTCCCGCCCACCGTTCTTCCACTGGCTCCTTGTGGCTTTTGTCTCTGAGCCTGTCTTCCTGCCTGGGTCATCACGTCATCCCCGGGGGGAGGGTTTATGGAGTGAATGAGGCAAACTGTGTCGGGGTGAAGGTGGTGACTGCAACATGCAGGTGGATCAATAACCTTCCACAGACACGTACTCGACTTACTGACAAGGTCCCTCACCCTCACGTTCCATCTGTAAATCAACCAGGAATACCCCCTTTCCCCCGATGGATCGTGGGTCGTAACGCAGCTTTTGTTTCACCTATTAATTAATTAATTAAGAAAAATTGAAGTATGGCTGATTTACAATGTTGTGTTAGTTTCAGGTGTACAGCAGTGATTCAGTTATACATTCACATATGTGTATATATGTATTCTTCAGATTCTTTTCCCTTATAGGTTGTTACAAAATACTGAGTGTGGTTCCCTGTGCTGTACAGTAGGTCCTTGTTGTTTATCGATTTTATGTACAGGAGGGTGTACCTGTGAATCCCAACCTCTTAATTTATCCCTCCCCTGCTTTCCCCTTTGGTAACCATGAGCTTGTTTTCTACGTCTGTGGGTTCATCTATAATTTAAACATCCTCTGAATAGGTGGAGGGCTTGGCAGAAGGCTCACTCTACGAGTTCAGAATTGCCGCCACCAACCTCGTGGGGATCGGGCAGCCGTCGGACCCCAGCGAGCTCTTCAAGTGCGAGGCCTGGACGGCGCCGGAACCGGGTAAGACGGTCTCTCCAGGACTCACCCCTGGGTACCTCGCGTGCACACGCAGGGCTGGCCGGAGAGGGGGTCTTCCGTGGCGCCAGCCCAGGCCTTCCCAGCCTCTGCAGCCAGCAGGCTTCAGTCACTCTGCACAGATCCTGGCACCACTACCACGTGCCAGGCCCGGGACAGAGCTGTGCCTTAGGTGGCCCCGCCCTGTGGTCTGGGCCATGGACACACAGGTAGGGCAGCGACAGGCACGGAGTCATTAGCACTGAAGTGTGAGGCCGTGGGGCCACCCACCCCCAGCTGCTCCCCCGAGTCGAGGATGCTGTGGCCGGAGGCTGGTCCAGGGCAGGCCTGTGCCAGGTGGACTTCTCCCAAAGGGGCGGAGGGAGGCCAGCTCCCAGCAGGAGAGGCTCCAGCTGGGCCAGAGTAGGGACAGCAGGACCTTACTGACTGTGTATTCACTCAGGTCTCCTCCTCCCAGAGCACCTGGGCGCTTGGGGCCTCTGGTTCTAAAGTGAACATTGACAAAATCTCTGCATTTACTCAGGGCTCCACATTTTCAAACTGTTTTCACAAACTTGCGGGGACTGGGCATCGATTTCTCTGTATCCGGTCCATCAGGACCCCTAATGCCATGGATAATACGCTCACGGTTTGAACAAAACAAAGTGAGACAAAACAACGAACCTGAAGTTGAAGCTGAAAAGCTCTAAACACTGAGACAATTGTTCAGTTCTGTGGCCAGATGATATGGCTTTTCCTTTTCTTCTTTATTTTTTGGGGGTGGGGGATACTTGTTTTAATCAAATTAATTTTTTCCCCTGGAAGAGTCAGTGGAAGGAGAAGCTGTAGAAGTTCCCAGGGGCTTTGGGGGGCTTAGAGTGATTGGTTAGGGTGGGACCCCTCCTGCCTTTACTGCTCAAGGCTCCCCTGGACCTGGGCTTGGTTACTGTCACAGGCGGGCCTGGGGTACTAGGCTGGTGGAGCTGGTGAGAGCTTGGTTCCCCGGGTGGTCAGACTCCCTGGGTGAGTCCTGTGATTCCCGGGTTTCCAGCCCAGCAGGTGGGTGGGTACCTCAGGATCCTCTCCTGCACACCTTTTTCTCCGTGAGACGTACCTGCTGGTCCCGGGCTAGCGTGTGGACTCGTGAATTAGTCCACAGGCTCACCTGACTTTTCAGGTCCTGCCTACGACCTGACGTTCTGTGAGGTCCGGGACACGTCCCTGGTGCTTCTCTGGAAGGCCCCGGTGTATTCAGGCAGCAGCCCCATCTCTGGGTATTTCGTGGACCTTAAGGAAGAGGATTCCGAAGAGTGGATCACCGTCAACGAGGCCACCACGGCACATCGCTACCTAAAGGTGACGGTACACCTTCTCAGGCATTGTCTTCTGGGGAACGTGTTTCATCCCTGTCGGGGGTCTAGCTCAAAGCCCCCAGGGAACTGTGCACATGAACTGGTACCCCTGCTGCCAGCCAGCGGGGTTCAAGGAGGTACCCGCCCCTCCGTGGACATGGGGAGCGACTGCGTGTGGGGACCATCTGGATGGGTTTCCTCTGCTTCCTGCCGTCTGACAACCCCCCACGGTGCTGACACTTCACGGTCATGGACTGTGTTGATGTGCCTTCCACAGCGATGCTAGAATTATGTCTTTCCGCACCAAGCCCATGTTTACTTCACTCAGTTCACGTGATCGCTGATGCACGTCTATCTGATAAACACACATACACACGTACACACAGTGTAAACACATTTGACAGAACTATGATGTGTAATTTCTCTGTCCCCTCTTTCTCCAAATACTTCTGTTTTTAGCACCTGCAATTCACCAGTCACTGGGGTCAGGTTAGTGGTAACAGTGGCTTAGACCTGGGGACCCAGCTGCCCTCGTCAGAGGCTTTATTCTTTGGGCTGTGGGCTCTGGGGTGTGATTTAGACAGAGAGGCAATGTGCTTCCTTAAAGAAAGGCCGCACCTGAGTGACAGGTAAATGGGCAGCAGCCTCTGGAGGGCAGTTGGACAACATGAAACAAGATCAGTGTCGTCTTCTGAACGAACAAAAACTGCTCAGAATCCAGCTAAATGAATTCGTTAGAAATTAGCTAATATACATTTTATTTTTGGTTATCAATGCAGATTACAATATACCTCATCCGTAGATGTATAAGACATGGGTTTAATTTTTTTGTGTGTGGTACGCGGGCCTCTCACTATTGTGGCCTCTCTCGTTGCGGAGCACGGGCTCCGGACGCACAGGCCCAGCGGCCATGGCTCACGGGCCCAGCTGCTCCGCGGCATGTGGGATCCTCCCGGACCGGGGCACGAACCCGTATCCCGTGCATTGGCAAGCAGACTCTCAACCACTGTGCCACCAGGGAAGCCCAAGATGGGTTTAATTTTGATATTGCCCCAATGATAGGATATTTTGCACAAACTAAAAAATCACATGTGAAATGATATTTACTCCCGTAGAATTATGTTAAATTTCAACACCAGATTATAAACTAGATGATATGATTTCAATTCTGCTTTAAAATATGCAAAGAACAAAGAAGAGGATATATCAGAACAGTAGCAACCCTGTTTATTCTCCCCAAGTGAGGTCATGAGCCTGCCCGTCTCCTTTTCCCTTCTGCACTTCCTCTGTACGGCTATTCCGACTGGAAGAATAGGCTATTTGTAAAAAGAAAACACGCCTGTAATAAAATGTGATGAAGAATGAAGTCATTTTCATCTGTCTGTTCACATGTGACATTTCCTCCTTCTTTCAAGGTCTGCGACCTGCACCAAGGAAAAACCTACATATTCCGTGTCCGGGCAGTAAATGCGAGTGGGGTGGGGAAGCCCTCAGACACGTCGGAGCCGGTACTTGTGGAGGCCAGGCCAGGTGAGCCTCATCTGCTCGGCTGTTAGCAGGGCAAACCTCACAGCAGGGTGATCTGGGAGGAGGCATGCGTGTGTGTGTGTGAATGGACGGCGGATGCATGGACGGTACCCGTCACATTTATAGAAGGAGTTGGATTGACAGACGCAGTACAGCATGTCTTCAAAGACCCACTGCACGCCCCCCCGCCCAGCATCCTGGGCAGCAAGGGGCACGTGAGGTCATTCTGCAAGGGTGGCAGGGTCTTCATTTCAGCAGTAGAACGTGCAGGGATGACGATGGTCTTTTATGTTACTGCTGAGTTTTGATCAGAAATTATAAAGCCGCTGGCAATCTCCTTGGTTAAAAGTAGTAAGAGCCCAGCTGAGGGGACCTTGGCGGGGAAGTGCTTCCGAGGGGAGGGGGGTGAGCTCACGGGATACGTGGGGAGAAGGATCTCCGGAAACCATGTTTTCCCTGGATTTCTCCCCTCCCTGGAGATTGGCTCCATGGATACCCTGCCACCCGGCTCTGTGCTCCTCTGTCCTCCTGGCAAGGGGCGCATCTGTGTGCACCTGTCTCAGGCCGGCGTGTCTCCTCCAGTTCTGATTCCTAAGGGACAGATGCTGACTGGCCTGTGTTGGGCCAGGTGTCCACTTGGTCAAAAAGGAACAAACAAACAAACAAACAATCCCCCGAAGGAAAAAGTGGAGAAAGTAGAGCCCGGGCGTGTGGGAAACAAGTGCCCTAACCACGCTGCCCGGGCCCCCAGGAGTGGCGAAGGGTCAGATCCCAAAGGGCAAAAGGATCGTTATGGCCGGGATTGGCAGCCCAGAGGGTTTTCTCCAGTGGTGCTGGATGCAGAAAAGGAAGTGGACAGACATGTGATGACTTAAAACCCAAACCTGAACTTCTCTGCTTTCCATCAGCTGCCCAGAGGGCTCGCTCTTTCACATCTGCCCGATGTCCTGGGTAGACCCTAGGCAAAACCTGATGATTCGATGTAAAACAAGCCCTCCGCCTGGGCCATCCCTCCTCCACAAAAAAGACTCGGAAGGATACTGTGTTCCTAAGATGCTCCCTGGCATTCTCGCTCTGCAGGCACCAAGGAGATCAGCGCGGGCGTGGATGAAAAAGGTGAAATCTACCTGAGCTTTGACTGCCAGGAGATGACGGACGCCTCTCACTTCACGTGGTGCAAATCCTACGAGGACATTGCAGGTGACGAGAGGTTCAAGGTCGAGACCGTGGGGGACCAGTAAGTTCCACTCTGGAGTTGGCAATCACCACCTCTTAGGAACGCCTGCAAACACAGTAATTAACATACCGGCTTTCCTTCCCTTTCAGCTCGAAGCTGTACTTTAAGAATCTGGATAAAGTGGACTTAGGGACTTACTCTGTGTCCGTCAGTGACACGGATGGTGTGTCCTCCAGCTTTGTCTTGGATGAGAAAGGTAACACCTGTAGGACATAGGCTTCCCTTTTGGGGTTTTATAACATTTTCAAAGATTGACCCTAACAGAGAAAAGACTGATTTGCTTAGAAAAGGGGTGTGTGTTTGCAGGAGGCTGGGGGTGGGGAATCCTTTTTAAAGCCAAAAATTACTTTGGAAATTACACAAACTCTTGAGTTTGTACTCTAGCCACTAAAGAAATCACTGGTCCGGGAGTATTTTATTTCTTGCTGTATATATTGCTTTTATAGCCTTCCAATTGTACTTTTAGAGGTGAGTTTTAGTTACGTTTCATTAGTTTGGCAAGTAGCATATTAGCAAATAAGTCCGTAAAATTAATGAGAGGCACACAGATGCAAGAATCCTCCCTTTTCTCCCAACATGGAATAATCGAATGATGAAAGAAAACACATACATGTATATATTTATATGTATATATTTTTTTATGTGTGTGAAATAATATTTAATTTCCATAGTTAAAATCACTCGCTCTCTTATAAACAGAAAACAGCAGAATGAAGTGAAGGAAGTCGGTTTACTCTGCCCCGGGGAAAAGCAGCAGTTTCTCTTAGGCAGGTGCCCGGGTCTGAGTGCCCCAGACAATGAACTGGCCTCGGGAGGAGGATTCTTCCACGGCCTGGGTTGATGTTTGTGCCCAGCCCTTATCTACCACCCCGTGCTGGTCAGAGCCAGTTTTACAAGTTTGTACAATGATTAGTCAGTGATGTGGACGGAACTGTGTAGCATTGGACAGAACCCTCAAAACTCCATGTTGGGCCTTTAAAAGCTTCTGAGTCTCTGAGGGCCCTCAGTTAAAATGCCTTAAGTTTGATAGTCTAATCCTTTCCTTATCAGCTGGCATCTTGCTTGGCTGCAGTGAAGCGTGTGGTCCCAGGAGAGGGATACAAGGGGGGACGCCTAGGACGGGTGGGGAGGGGACAGGGTCTGCTGGCCGCAGGCGTTCGCAGGTCCCATGCAGACGTTGGGGGCATTGGGGTGAGCCCATGTGCATTTAACGGGACCAGCAGTAGAACAGCAGAGGGGCTGCACCACCTCTGCTTCCTGGGTTCCCTGGCAAGCTCACTGCTCACAGACAGGGCGGGAAGGGACCGGAATCTGCTCACCTTCATTTTAAGCTGCCCTTTCTGACCCTCACTCAGTGGGCTTCACCCAGCTCTTTACTAGCAAAACATCCTTAAAGACTTCTGACAAGTGCTGTGCTCTCTGCTCCTTTTGAAAGTTTGCAGATGACGTTTTCACCTTAATTTTAAATCGTTGCAAAGGATGAGCATTTCCAGCACATTTTAGGCTGTATATGGACCTCAAGTACATTTCAGGCAAAACCTTGATGCTGCACCTTTAGCTCATTTGATGTATGGAAGTTCCCACTGTGAGACCTAATGGGGGTGTCAGCCCTCACCCTCAAATCAGCCGTCTAGGTGGAGTTACTTCTGGTCACAGAAAGTCTGCTTCATTGTTCATTTCAAATAAACAGGTGCATACAGATCTTGGTGACCGTGGTCTCATTTCTAAATGCTAATTTTAAGAAGAAAGGAAGGAAGGAAGGGAGGAAGGGGGAGGGAAGGAGGGAAAAGGAAAGAAGTGGTTTAGAACCTTCAATTTTTCTTAACTTGCTCTTGGGAGTCTCAGGAGCAGTGCATTTTTACTTTTTAATGTATCATTATTATTTATTATTTAAATTCATGATAATACACCACAGTGAAATTCTGGGTGGGTGAGAGAGGTGCTAAAGCAGGACGCTTTTAACGACCAATTTCAGGAAAGAGTTCATATGGGATTAGAGGATCTGGAAATGGGTTCCTTTACATACCCCCTCTGTAGGTCTTCCTCTCTTCGAGGAATACACCTGCCCCCCCAGTGCCCCCCACTCCCAGGGACCTCTGCCCTAACCCGTCCTAACGGGTCCCGTTAGTAAGTGGGTTCTTTAAATGGTGAGGATTTTAGTTGCAGGCGGTCATTCACTGGAGGGAGTATTCAAAGTTACAGTTATCCCATGTCTCCTTTTAACTCCCAGTTCTAATTTCTTTCACAGCCTCAAATTAAACTTGGTGATGTGATGTCAAATCTCTGCTTTGCTTTTAAGCCAGCTTCTGAACGTACAGGTCAAAACCAGTGATTATATTTTTCTTAATTTTAGAGCTGGAACGTTTGGTGACGCTGAGCAATGAGATAAAAAATCCCAGTAAGTGAGCCTGGAGCTCAGAGCAGGATTGCACTCTGGGAAGGCATGTTCGTTACCGCGTGCAGCTCTGGAAGGGACGCTCTGGGGAGAGGATGGCCTCGTTTTGTGCGCCAGCTTTTACACACTTGTCAACAATTCGCTCAAAACAAGTATTAGCTAATATTGTAACGTGTAGCAATTTTCATTGCATGCAGTGTTTTGGATTTTGGGTTGAGTGTGGCTGTTTAATCCAAGTGAGAATTGTATCAAATGGGATCTTCAGTTATTGGATTACATTGAATTCAGAAAGAATATATCCATCTGTGGTCACCGGGCCCATCAGGAAAGCAGACCGTGCATGTGCAAGGCTTCACGGGGCATGGAGGCTTTGAATGCAGCGCCAGGCTAACTAGAGTCTCATTTCTTTGTTTTGGTTTTCATAATCCAGTTCAATACTCCGGGGTTTCACATTCTCCAAAAATTTAATAATGAGGATTGATATTTTCCTATAGTACACAGCTATTCCTTCTCACAAGGATTCACGCATTATTGACTTGTGATCTCTTTTCTTCCTGTAGCGATTCCTCTGAAGTCAGAATTAGCTTATGAGATTTTTGATAAGGGCCAGGTCCGCTTCTGGCTGCAGGCTGAACACTTATCACCAGACGCCAGCTACCGCTTTATCATTAATGACAGAGAAGTCAGTAACAGCGAGGTGAGTTCATGTGTGCGTGGCCTCTGGCTTTGGAGATGGCCAGGTATTACTTGGGAAGGTCAGTTCCTGAAAGTCAGTATTCTGGGTCTGTCTTCATCCCTTTTCGAGCTGTAGAAGTTGGGGCGTAGAAGGCTGACAACATGAATGAGAATGAGAGATGGTTGATTCTTGCAATGTACAGAGATTTGGTCTCGGTTAGATGAGAGATCAGGAGGCCTTTAAATCCAAGCCTGTTGGAATTAAAAAATGACCAACTACGTTTAGAGACTTGGTGTTATGAAAAGGTTCAGGTTATGTGGGGTGGCGGTTATCCTCAATGGATCAGTTTATTCACTCTTGATGACAGTTTTGAAGGGGTGTATTTTTGCCCTGATGTGAGCAATGACTTCCTAGGCCCCCCTCCCACTGAGAGCTGCCCATGGAAGGCGTCGGCTGGGAAATTAGTTTCTGCACCTTCCCTGAGCTTTTAGGCTGCCCCCTTGGCCTGGCAAATCTGAACAGAGAAAAATGTGTAGGATGCTATGATACAGACACTTTGCCCTTCTTATACTTTTAATTGTGTAGAATGAAGCTGACAGATATTACAAGGATTCCTTTTTTGCCTGTGGCACATCGTGTCTCCATATATGTCCTCTTGTCTAATTATTACAGCGCAACTGGGAACCCAGTTAAAAGACGACCTGTTTGATGGAGCCTTTCTTTGTTGTTCAGCGGTGCCCTTGGGGTCTCTCACATCCCACCATCTTTACCCCCTCCGCTCTCTTTTCCCTTGATACCCAATGCATCGTGTCTATTTAGCTATCCCACTGAGTCCTCAGTGCCTCAGCGGTGTGTCTGCTGCACGGATATTAACGGGATGGTTGAGATGTAGGGATTGCTCATGCCAGGTGTGCGGCCCACTCACTCTCCCTCTAAGCTGGGCACCTCATCCCTAGTCTGGCCTCTGTGTCTGATGGGTTTTTAGTAAAGCTTCGTTAGACAAACGTCCCTCGGGCAGAAATCGTGTATGGAGAAAGGTTACGTGAGTTTTCTTATCCAGTCCATCTTCCCCATGAGAATGATGGCATCCTTGGAGAACTGTACAAATTGGGGAGTTGGCTAGTAAGTAGAAAGCATGCGGTTTCCTCCTGGCTGCAAAAAAAGCCCACAGTATGGATACTGTGTATGGAAGAGCATCGCATGATCAAGGTAATTGGAGACAGTTTTCTTTGAGCAGAGATCATGCTACGGAATGCAATGGAATTTAGTGTAATTGCACTTTATTTGTAGAACATCTTTTGATTAACATCCCTACCTGCTGTGGAGAGCTTGCTTTAAATACGGATGTCTTTGCTACCTGGCTTATCGTTTGGAATACGGCTGTACTATTTTCTTCCTTAATTAGCAATCCACAGGTGACTTTTCCATGTGGAGATTGATGCTATTTTGTGAAAGTCACATAATAGCCTGTATTTATGGCCCCCTTAAAATCATCGAACATCATCTCGCTGCACAACGGCAATCGCTAGAAGCCTGATTCTTTTCTCAAACCTGCCCAGAGCCTGCGGTGCAGAAGCTGAGAAAATGGAGAAGGCTCTGGATTGTTAAGAATCCGGCTGGTGAGCGTGGTTCCTTCTCACTTCTCAGACCTAATTAGAGCAGGTTCCTAGAGGCCTCTACTCACAGATGTTTGATGGGGGCAAGCGTCTTACAGACCCAGAGCAGCACCGTTGTCTGATCAACTTGAAATTTGCTCCCCGTATTCAAAAGCAAATACTCAAAACTGCAAAGAAACTCAAGGACCCCGGCGAGGTACACCTGTTGCAGCCCTCTGTTCCTTGCCCAGCCCCCGAGAACTACCGGAGTCTCCGGGGAGGGAGCAGTGTCCTGCTGCCGTAATCAGGAGGCTTCCTGTAATCGGCACCACCTCCTGAAATGGCCTCTCTCTCAAAATGTAATCTGAGCTCACGCCTTCTCGTTCATTGCTCTCTCTCTCTCTCACTTTATATACACCAAGTTCCCATCGAGAAAAAAATCTAAGCGATGTTGTACAAGTACACAGTGTATGCTTTACTTACTTGAAACAATATTGGAGTTTCCGATTTCCAGGTGATTTTTTTATGTTTCCTGGAAGTCAAGGCCTGTGGGCAGGGGTGGGCTTTATTCACTTAAAACCTGAAAGTCATATTTGATCAAACAGAACCTCAGGCATCACGTTAACCCTTGGGGCCTCAGACACTCATCTTCCTTTCCCTGTGGACGGCAGCTTATAGTCTGCAGATGGTTTTTGATTGTCCGCCGTAGCCTAGAAAAATGAGACGTAAACTTGCCCTCCTGGAGCTTATCCCAGAGTTGAAGAAATACAGCTTCAATCAGAGAATGATACAGAAAAAATACAGAATGGAGAGCGTGTTAAAACAGTACAGCGAGCACCGATTCAGAGAAGGCGGGGGTGTGGAGAGGCTGGAGTAGTTAGGGGAGATTTCAAGAGCAGTGGATTCCTGGGTTCTCCTTCGGAGGAGGAACGCAGAAAATGGGCCCCGGAACAGGTGGGCCCTGCAGCTTGCACACGCGAGAGCTAGCAAGGTGGGGGGCCGGGGGGCGAGGAGGGTGGGCTGACCAGGGGAGTGGCCACAGGGCATCTTGGAAATACACTTGGATTAAGCGGAAGGGGTCAGACAGCAGAGGTGCCGCTTCCAACGTCAGGCAGGAGGGTTTAGAAACGATGCCCGACGCTGAGGGAAACGGGCTTAGGGATGTCGAACAAAGGTGCTATTTTGCTAATATCCATCTTCTCAGCTCTCTTGTGACACTGGCATTTGGAATCCAAAATATAAATGTCACCTGAAAGAGAAAGAAGAGCATTGTGAAAATAAATACACACGATGTGTGAGAAAAAGGCCGATCTCACACATTTTCTGTTAGTTACCCGCAGACAGGAGTTCTTTGTAATAGTCTCATCAAGGTAAGGGCTGTAGAAGGAGTGCAGGCTCTCGGGGCAAGGAGTGGCCTTTCCTCCCTCTCGTCCTGTTTGTTGGCTGCTGACCACAGGTTACTGGCGATGACTCGCTCATCTCACCCCACAGCCCCACCTTCCTGGGACGGCTCATTACTCAGGCTGGGAAGCCTTTGCGTAAATCCCAGCTGGGCTCCTCTGGAAGGAAGCAGGAATGCCTGCAGGAAAGGTCACCAGCAAAGGTTGTCATGCTTTTGTTCATTCTGGGCGTAGCGTTGGGGGGGTCAAGGCCAGAGGAAGCAGCCCTTCTGTGGCGTTGTGAGTCGTGTTCCTGAGGGGAGCCCCGGTCCCTGTGCTGTCCTTGCCCTGAATGATGGCTGCATCGAAGACGAGTCATTCTTTGGATGTGCTCCTTCTGCCTCCCTGACCCCTGCTTGATTGCAGATATCGTATCCAAGGGTGGAATAACAAGACATGGTCCATTCGCAACCACACGTCAGTCTCTGTAGCTCATCACAAGCGATGAGAGCAGAGTCTGAGGGAGACGTGAGCTCTGGACGGGCGGCACCGGGAAAGGGTCCCCATTGGAGGCTGCCCGGATGGGGGATGCAGAGCCTGGGCACCTTCAACCCTGGTGCTGGTGGCGGTGTTGAGTGGGGGCGACCAGTCGTGATGCCCGTGTCCCCAGAGTCCCCGAGACTGAAGCCCTCGCGGCCGTGGAGATGGTTGGTTGTTGCCTGTGGTTTTGTGATCGGACATGGCCAAGGGCGCCCCGTTCTCTTTCCCCCGTGTGCTGAGTTACCTCACATCAGGTGCACATTCCCGAGGAGTGTGCAGAGTTTCTGCTGGGTTCTTCGTGTGTAGGTCACTCCCCACGCAGACCTAGGGCTTCATCACCGAATGTCCCTCGTTTGATCTTTGGTTCACCAAGAGGTCCCTCGTTTGCTCTTTGGTTCACCGAGAGGTTCAGTGGCTGAAATTTCTTTTTGTGTGTTTTTGGGGCACCATGATCCCTTAAGATACAATAGTTGATGCAACCGTTAGGTGCCAGCGAGAAAACTGGAGGGAGGAATTTCACGGTGGAATTCTCCCCTTCCTTCTGTGCTCCCAGACACACAGAATCAAGTGTGACAAGTCAACTGGCCTTATCGAGATGGTGATGGGTCAGTTTACCATTGAAAACGAAGGCACCTACACTGTGCAGATTCACGACGGAAAAGCAAAAAGTCAGTCTTCTCTGGTCCTCATCGGAGACGGTATGCTGTGTGGAAGGTCTTCATGTGTCTGTAAAGGAAAATTCAAAGCAAATTCTTTCAACCAGAGAGAAGCAAATGTATTTCATTTCTATTTGTTTCCCCTCAAATATTGGATTTAGCATTCAAGGCTGTCCTAGAAGAGGCTGAATTTCAAAGAAAGGAATTTCTCAGGAAACAAGGTAGGTGGTTGGCTGGCTTCCCCACCACTACTAGCACAAGACAAAGGTTTAGGATTTGAGCATTTGCTTGGAGCAGATCCTACTTAATGCCAAACGACTCTAACTTCGATTTTAAATGATTGAGAAGTCAGACCACTTCTTAGCTGTAGAAGTTTGGACTCTCTTCTGTTCTTTGACCTTTCCCATTATTTCATCGGTATTTTCTCTTGCCTCTACCTTGAAAAGCCCTGGAATCTATTGTTGAGTGTTGGTATTTTCCTGCAGTGATAAGGAAAGGGTGCCTCCATTACACGTCCAGATGGAGTCCAGTGATTGTGACAAAAAGGAATAAAGAATGGGGGTGGGTGAGTTGGGGGGATTATTAGGAGAAACGGAGAGAGGGCAGTAGACCCAGTTCCAATAGCCAGGAGCTTGTTATTTTACTTAAAAGTGTGTGAACTTTTCAACTTTTAGATGTTTCACTTTAATTACAAACAATACTTTTTAAATATATCGTTTTAAAAATGCATATTAAAAATAAATAAATAAGTAAAAAATAAAAATGCATATTAACTAGATACAAAGGAAAATGGATAAATTTTAGAAACTGAACTACAACCCAAGGGTTTATTTGAAAAATATTTTTATATGGGATTTCTATAGTTTTTGAAAAGAAGTTAGAATACAGCTTTTAAAATATAAAATGAAGACATTATTTTTATTGTTTTAAGTTATTTTTAGTAGTCAAAAATGTTTATTTTACTCATTTCTACAATATGATTCCTACAACTTTGTAGGATGTATTTATATGGAAGAAATCAATAAATACTTTCTAAAACTGCTTTGTATTTTTGTGTTGAATGTATTATTAGCATATGACTTCTGCATTTATATTAAGTAAAAATGATATTTTTGAAAGATATATAAATTAATCTTTGATTTCAAATGCTATATAAATATCATGTGTTGACATACTTGCTAGGTCAAACGCCTTTTTCTTCATCTTACCTCAATTAGTTCTCCTATTTTAACGTTTTTTTATACCATGCTGTTGGATGTTGTTAGACACACGTCTTGAGAAAAAAATATAATATTTCATTATTCTTCCTGCTAAAGAGCAATAGCTATTAGACATCACCGAGAAGGAGAGATCAGACAGCATCACCCAGCTAGAAATAGAGATTTCAGTATCAGTATTGCACACACTGACTGCGGAGCCCTGAAAATTAGTTTTATTAAATTATCTTGGTTTCAGACTGAACAGCTACTTTCTTCTGCCCAAAATGCATTTGTATGTGTGTGTGTATATGTGTACATTTTTTTCCTTTATTTAAACTTTTTTCCCTTTTCCCCGCCAGGCCCTCATTTCGCTGAGTATCTGCACTGGGATGTTACAGAAGATTGTGAAGTCCGGCTGGTCTGTAAGGTGAGGAATCGGTTCTAGCCAGGAGAGATTGAGACTCCCATTCTCGTGACAGTGGAGACAGTCAGGGAGCAGCTACGTTCAGATCACACTGGTGGTGAAGCGCAGGGGGTTGGATTAGGGGCGGGTGGTACTCAGACTTTCAGTCTCGTCTGTGGTCTCTGTCAACAGATTACAGGGGCAACGGAACGGAGATTCAAGTAGGTAGTTTATAAAATATTTATTTAAGATTTCAGTAAGTGAACATATGGGAAAGAATGCTATGGTGAAATGTATCTGGTAATTTCTATGCTGCTCATATGATTTCTTTAGGAAATAAAAGGTATGTTTGGGGAATAAGATGCTCTTAAGTTTTTGTTTGAGCAATTCAGTAATAAAGTAAGCCTGAATCACTACTAACTATAAAAACCTGTATTTTGGGGAACAGACTTTAAGTTAACAAGCCCCTGCTACATGGCTGTCTCTGTAGAAGAAGAGGCTGTGGGGAAAGCTCGATCGTGCATCATTTCTGTTCCCAAGCTACTCACAGACAAGAGAGGTAAACA